TCTTCCTTCAGTTCTTTAAGTTCTTTGTGTGTTCTTTAAATTCACTGAATTCTTTTATCATGTTTATAATGGTTCTTTTGAGTTCCATGTCCTCTGTTATCTCTAGAGGGTTCTCATTGTACTCCTCTAGAGGACTATTGGTATTTGGTGGGGATAAGTTATTTTTTCTCTGTGATTTTGACATGTGAATTTCTTTTGTAGTTTCTTATTCTTGTGTGAGACTCAAGCCTTCAAGTTTAGGTCTGCTTCTTTTTGTAAACCTTATGTGCCTTTGTGGTTTACTTGTTGGACATGAAAAGCTGGTTTGGAGTGGCCAAATTGCTTTTGTCTTCAGGAGTTCCCACAGAGGCCCAAGTCAGATGAGGATCAGATGCTCTCAGGCTATCTCCTGGGGTCTGGATCCTTCCAGGAAAGATGTTATCCTCAGGAATTTGGAGGCTGGACTGGCTTGGGAGCAGCAACCAGGGAGATGCTGGGCAGCTGGTGGCCATGTCACACAGGGAAGCAGAGGGAGGTGAGGGCGGGACCAGGCCCAGAGGGCTCTTGGGGACCTTGAGAAGGGACTGGGTTGGTCTGCATGGAAAGGATCAGAAAGCGGTGGTGGTTCTGGGCTGAGAGGTCAGCCCCAGTGTCTGGGATGCCAAGGCAAGAATTGGGCCAGTACCCAGGCTAGGAGGAGAGACGGGGAGGGGGAGGTGGAAGGGTGAGTGAGGCTGGGGGAGTCAAGGCACGGTGGGCGCCACTGGACTTACCCAGGAGAGAGGCTGGTGGGTTGTGCAGCCAAGGGAATCAGACAGAGGTAAGAATGGGACTAGGCCCTAAGGGCTCCTGGGGACCACAAGATGGAACTGGGTTGGTCTAGATGGAAAGGACCAGGAAGCAGTGGTGGTTCTGGGCTGACAGGTCAGCCCCGGTGTCTGGGGTGCCAAGGCAAGAATTGGGCCAGTACCCAGGCTAGGAGGAGAGATGGGGCGGGGGAGGTGGAAGGGTGAATGAGGCTGGGGGAGTCAAGGCGTGGTGGGCTCCGCTGGACTTACCCAGGAGAGAGGCTGACGGGTTGGTCATGGGTTGTGCCACCTAGGGAAGGAGAGGGAGGTCGTAACCTCACTTTTTAAATAATTGTTTTTGAGACAGGGTCTCCTTGTAGCCCCAGCTGGCCTGGAACTCGTTATATAGACCAGGCTGGACTTTATCTCATAAAGATCTCTCTCATAGAGATCCACCTGCCTCTGCCTGCCTAGTATTGTTAACTTCATTTTGTATTCTGTGCTATGTAATGCTGTCCATCTCAGGGAGGTCCTGTCACCATCCCTCCTCTCAGCCCCTTGCTCTTGGTCCCCCACAATACCACAGCTCTGACTGTGATCACCTCAGGTTCCTGTGTGTCAGGGACACAATAGCTGCTGCTCAGAGTTTACATCTCAGGCTCTTGTTTTCTGACATCTTTTGGACTCTGTTCCTTCTGTATCATGAGGCCAAACGCGGAGGTATTTTTCCAATTCCTGGTCCTGCTGAGAAGAGACCAGTGAATTCCCTGCAGCACCAACCCTTCTCCACTGTCATTAAAGTTAACATAGTTACCAGCCGCCTTCTTAGGATCACAAACCAGGCTTCTGGTGCTCGAAGATTTTCCATACCAATAAAGAAGTGGGGCCCTGATAGGCAGCAAATGTGTTGAGGAATGACTTGCCTTGGAACAGAGAAGGCAGGAAACCCTTGAGGGCTGGAGGAGCCCTGAGTATGAAAGAACTGCTTGCACCCTCCTAGGGGCTGGATGGGTGTGAACACAGAACACTCCCTCCCCCAGGGCTTTGCATTGTGCTGTTGCTCAGCTAGGCCTGCTCTTCCCACCTTTTTCTGCTCTGGCAGAGCCCCCTCACCCAAGGCCCTTTCCTGTGTAAAGCTGTCGTTGGTATGTCCCCACCCCTCACCCTGCCTAATCTCTGTCTACTTGTCTAGCTGAGTTAGCCACAGCCTCCTCTGAGTATTAGTGATTCCTGTTCATACAAGTTACTCTTTCCAGAAGCCACTGAGTCTGAGCCTAGCCCATCCCGGGAAGCCTCAGATCTGGGCCATGGCCTCTAGCAAAGGATGGCGTTCTACAGTGCTCAGAACATGGCGGGGGGTGGGGGGGGAGTTGGAATCAAGAGTCAGGGTGCAGATATCACAGCATCTCACACAGGGGTCTGTCTCTGAGAACACAGATTGCTCTGCTGAGGCCACACTCTGCCAGTTATCCTTGTTGTGTTCCCACTTCCCAGTGTTGTTATCCACATGGGCCAGAAGGGCAGGGCCTGGAGATAGTGGGCACCTCCTCCCCAAGGTCCCAGGGGGTTGGAATGCCCTACTGAATCTGTAACAAGATAAGGTCACTTATTTCCCAGGTGTGTATTATAAACATACAACTCTGCCTATAAAATAAACTTTGGCTATGCAAATGCACACTTCCATTTCTAACACCCCTTTTCCTTAACATTAGCATCTGCCTCTGATTGAAACTTAGAAGTTAGGAGCTTAAGAGGGAGCACCGCAGTTAAGAACACCAGCCAGGCATGGTGGCACACGCCTTTAATCCCAGCACTTGGTAGGCAGAAGCAGGTGTATCTTTGTGAGGTCGAGGCCAGCCTGGTCTACAGAGTGAGTTCCAGACCAGCTGGGCTACAGGGAAACCCTGTCTCAAAAAGACCAAAAAAAAAAAACCCACTGTTCTTGCAGAAGACCCAGGTTCAAATCCCAGCACCTGCACGGTAGCTAACAACTGTCCGTAATGCCAGTCCCAGGGGATCTGACAGCCTCGTCTGTCCTCCTCAGTCATTGCACGACAACAGGTGCACTTACCTACAGGTAGGCATACACACATACACTTAAAATAAAAATAATAAATAAAATATAAAAACTAAAACTTAGAAGTTAGCATAAAGCTCTAACTGTTCTTACCCTAAGCCTCAGTTGTCACACAAGCAGCTCAGACTGCAGGAGCCACCCCTGAGTAGAACCAGGGAAATGTGGCCCTGCTGTGCCCTGTCCTGGGGGTGGCGGGGGGGGGGCTCTCAGCTCCATCATTTATAAAAGGAAGTCATCTACTCACCCAGAACTTTCTGAGCACTCATGACGCATCTTTGATGAGGACAGGTTGCCTTTCCTCAGCTCCTTGCTCAAGTGGAAAATCATGGGGCAGAAAGGGCTGCTGCCTAGGAAGTCTACAAGAGGGCATCCTGGAGGCGGTGGCCCCTGGTTGAATCTGACATGATCCCTGGGTTGAGTCTGAAGTTGACGTGAACTCTCCAGACCAGTTCCCCAGAGCTCAAAGCCCCCCACTGTATGACAAGTACATTGGCAACAACCTCAGCCCCAGCCCACCCTAGCAACTCTGCCCACAGGCTCCTGTTGCTGCTTCAGAGCTGTGCCAGCTACCTGGAAAACCTCAGTTTGGAGCAGATGATACCACCTGCCCGGGCTGCTGGGCCATGCATGTCTGTGGGGCTCACAGTCCGGCGCTTCTGGAGCAGCCTCCTGAGACTGGGCATGCTTTACCAGCAGGTATTCCCCCAGGTGAATCATCCCAGCCCCCAACTATGCTTTTCCTCTCATCCTGCTCCAGCTTTAGCTTCTTAGCACACCATTGCATGTACCACATCCTTTACTAGCTTCCTACTGCCCAGCTGGAGCAATCCGAACTCCAAAGCCTCCCAGTTAAGGTCCATGGGCTTGGCAGTTGAGAAAGCAGGCCTTGGGGTCATGTCTGGGTTCTCTGGCTCTACCACTTACACAGTAAGTGTATCCTATCTGCTCAGCCCTTCAGTTTGTTTATTGATACAATGGGATTAATATTAGCCCACTTGATATAGGTTATCCCATAATCCTCACAGTGATCCAGAGAGAAAGGACAACCACCACTGTGAGGAAGAGGAAACTTAAAACAAAGTGGTTATAGTAGCACGAGAGTAAGCACAAACCCAGTAACAGTTAGCTGATACTGACTGCCATTACCCTCCCAGTTCCATGCATATATAACTACATCAAGCCTGGAATTGGGGTGGGGACAGCAGCAAAGAGGCTTGGGCTTGGTGTAAGGTGAGTCATGGGAGAAAGAGGTTATCTGATTCGTGTTGGTGTCACATAACTTCTGAGGGTTTGAGCACTGGGCAAGGTTATCACCAACATCCCCAGGGAACTGGTTACCTCCCAGACCCATTTCTCTTACCTGCCTTCCCTTTCTTTTCCTAACCCTAGAAAAGGTCAAACCAAGGGGAGATTTCCACCTCCAAGCCCACAGCTAAGGGTGAACCAGCCAGGAGCCCTGAATGCATGACTGCCAAGTTCATCAAGCCTCCCTCCCCAGTGCCAGGCTTGTCCCTGGTCTGCCAAGGGCTGCAGAGCATCCCTGTGAGAGTCTCCCTGCAGGACCCAGCTGGGACATCTGAAAAAACCAAAAGCGTCCATTCCCAGACCATCGAGACAGCCTTGGTACCCTGTGATGCTTGCACCAGCGTCCAGGGCAGCCTGTGGGAGGTAGGCAAGGTGGTCATCAGCCTGTGTCAGAGCCAGAACTTGCCCTCATCCTTGGGCCAGTTCCAGAAGCTGGTGCAGGACAGCATGGGGTTCAAGCCACTGCCAGCCACCACCATGGGCCACTGGGCAGCAGAGCAGAGCAAAGACCTGACGCGCCTCAATAAGCATGTAGGGGCCCTTACTCAGCTTGTTGGGCCCCTAAAGGCCCAGCTGGAGGAGGCTGAGGGGCAGAAGGATGGACTGAGGAAGCAGGTGGGCAAGCTGGAACAGGCCTTGTGGCAGGAGCAGGTGGAGCGGCTGCGGCAGACGGAGGAGGCTGAGCGACACCTGGCCAAGTGGGAGCATGACAGGCAACAGCTGCTCACAGGTCTATTCCCCAGAGACTGGACATTGCCATGGCCTTGGCATGATCATCCCTCCCTACCCCGAAGCAGGCCCTGAGACAAAGCTTTGAGTCCTAACAGTATGCATAGAAGAAACCCAGGCTGGGAAGTGGGCAAGAGTTCCAGGAAAGGAAGGCAGCAAGAAGGGTGTGAACATCCAGCCTGTGACACAGAGCAGCTGGAGCTCTGACCCCCTGGGGAATACCTGGAAAATAGGTGCCTCAGATTTGTCCCATGAGAAGGGGAGCGAGCTGGGGTGTTAGTCCAGTATTCACTCCTGGTGGTCAGTGAAGCACTTGAAGGGAGCTCTTTCCCGACACCTCCACCTCAACAGAGCAGCCTCTTTTGGCTTTAGCAAAAGCCATTAGGCAAAAAGGTATAGCTCCTGACACTGGAAGTCACCAGTGTCCACTGTTACAAGGCCTGAGGGATTAGGGAAAGTCATTATCCTTTTCTGAGCCTCACCATTGCCTTTTTGGAGAAGACCAGGTCCAGAGAGGCAGAGATAATGTGGCAGCCTGTCAGTGAGAAGCAGGGCCGGGCCCAGGGTTTCCTATATTAGCCCAGGCCTCCCTTGGCAACTCAGGTAACCCTTCCACCCTGCATGGCTATCTCTGCCCTACAGGGTACACTGGGCTTGAGGGTCACTGGCCAGGCCCAAGTGACCCTCTGAAGGGCCTCTTTCTTGGCTACCGTAGAAACATGTGACCTAAAGACAAAGGTGGCCACTCTGGAGGGAGAGCTGAAGCAGCAGCAGAAGTCCATGCAGGCTGTGGGTAAGAAGCTCCTTTACAAGATTCTGTGCTACATCTCCATCCTGTGCTGATGCTAGACATGCATCCTTCATTTCTGTCCCAAACTTCTAGGGCAGGAATAATGAGAACCATAGGCTGGGTCTGTCTATATTTTGGGGGGTGACCCAAGCTGGGGTTTCAACATCAATGGGCACACCTTCAGTTTGATTTTCAGACCCACATGGGGTTCAGAGCCCTGTGCTGTGCCTAAGAACACTGAAGCCCAGATCTGTGATGTGACCTTCCTTAGTCCCAGTCAGAGGTAGTGCAGGGACTTACACCTGAGGCCCCAATATTCTACCCCTTTCACACCTGTTTGCTTAATCCTGCAGAGGCAAAAGCCCAGCAGCTGGAGTCAGAAGGTGAGCGTAGGGTGGCAGCTGAGAAGCAGGTACAACAGCTGGAGGAGCAGGTACAAGTTCTGGCAGGGCGGCTGGATGGGGCTGGCCAGCAGATCTGCTGGGCCAGTACAGAACTGGACAAGGAGAAAGCCCGCGTCGACAGCATGGTCCGCCATCAGGAGGTGAGGCCCACAATCCAGGCACTGTGCTTCAGGCTCTGCAGCCCTTGTGTTCTTACTCCCTGTCGCAATAGCAGGAGGTAGATACTCCTATCATCCCCCATTTTATGAATGGAGAAATGGAGGCTTGATGAGGGTCAGAAAATAACCCCAGGCCATATAGCTAGTGGGAGACAAGAGTCAGGTCTTTCTGTTTATTGAGCACCAGGAAATAGGGGTTTCAGTTATTTACATAGATGTGATACTAGAGACATAAGGAAAAGAAGAAAAGTCTAGTTCTCAGAATCCTTTTTGGGTGGAACTGTGTATGAATGAGAAGTAGAGGCAAAGTTGCCAGGGTCAGCCAACTACCTTCAAAGAGTACAGTGTCTAGTCTGCAAGCAGTGGGGTCTGGTCCTATCCAGATTGGGTGTGCATCTGCCTGTTGTCTTTCTTCTGTTCCTTTCCATGTGTGCTAGCCTCTTCTGTACCCAAGACATGGCACAGAGGGTCATGGATACAATAGCCTCCTTAGTCCCATGAGACTGGTATGACCCTGAGGTCCTCACAGCTCCCCTGCTTATCCATTTCCATTTAGTCCCTGCAAGCCAAACAGCGGACTCTGCTACAACAGCTGGACAGTCTGGACCAGGAGCGTGAAGAGCTGCGGGGAAGTCTGGATGAGGCTGAGGCACAGCGGGTCCAGGTGGAGGAGCAGCTGCAGAGCCTACGGAGTGATAAGGAGCAGGGACAGTGCCAGCTACAGGCCCAGCAGGTGTGATGGGATAGGTTGATGGAGGAGGCAGTCCCTGGCCTCTCTTCTGAGGAGCTGCCCACCTGCTGAGTGGCCCTGGCCTATCCCACATCTAGGGACTGAGTAGTGTTCCCATGGGAGCCAGATCTAAGCCTTTCTTTGCCCCAGGAGCTGCTGCAGAGCCTGCAGAAGGAGAAGCAGGACTTGGAGCAGTCAACTACAGACCTGCAGCTGACCATCTCAGAGCTACAACGGGAGCTGGAGGAGTTCAGGGAGCGGGAGCGACTCCTCGTGGCCTTCCCAGACCTGCACCAGCCCATGGAGGCCCAGATCCAAAGTAGGGGCCTAGGGGTGCTGCTGAGGGCATGGTGGGTCCTGGTAGGGCACAGCTGAGGTCTTGCCTGGACATGCCACTGGCCTTCATCAAGAGGAGATGGGGGGCAGGAGGGTGAATGGTGTAGCCCTCCACACTGTCCACAACCTGCAAGTGTTTCGTATGTTGTCCATCTCTGTGTGAAGGGGACACAGATGCCCAGAGGTAAAGTGACTGCCCCCTGATAATTGAATCCAGACATAGACCTGGCTACCTCTAGCATGTGTTCACCATGTTGCATGCCAATCCTTGACTTCCCTGGCTCTCCTTTCCTATTATCATACCACACCATGGGACCAGTTCCAAGGACATAGCCTCCAGCTGTTCTTTATCCTGGACCCCAAGATCAGGAGTGCTAGTAGGCACCCAAACAAGCATAGGATCTGATGTCAGGTGACCTCTGTTCTCCTGTCAGCACTTCCCAACCTCTAGGCCCTGGGATGGATCCTTCCCCAGAGCTGTCAGATCTGCTGTAATTTAGCTGGTTGCAGTTAAGTCATTATTCCTGAGCACTAAGTGCTAGACCCTTTTGTTGCCCGCAACTGCCCCATGGAGTGAGTGGATCATGGACCCCCCCTTTTAAAAATTACTTATTTTATTTTATCTGTATGAGTGTATTGTCTGCATGTATGTAAGTACACCCATGTCGTGCAATGCCTGTAGAGATCAGAAGAGGGTGTCAGATCCTCTGGAACTGGGGTTATGGATGGTTGTTAACCACCATGTATTTGCAGAGAACTGAACCCAAGTCCTTTGCAAGAGCAGCCAGTGCTCTTAATTGCTGAGCCATCTCTCCAGCCCTGTGGACCTTTTTTTAATGTAAAAACTTATCTTACATTAAAAAAAATTGTGTATGTGTGCATGTGTATGTGCATGTGCACTCACTAGCCATGGCATGCATGTGGACGTCAGAGTACAATTTGTGAGAAATTGGTGCGCTTCTTCCACCATGTAGGTCCTGGGATTGAACTCAGGCCATGAGGCTTGGTGGCAAGCACCTTTACCTCCTGAGCCATCTCACTGGGCCCCTTCTTATAAACCAGGATGGGGCAGCAACTTGTTCAGGTTTATAGAGATGGAAGCGCTCATCAATCAACATAAACAGCATGGGAAAGGACATCCTTGATGACTTCCTGTGATTCAAATCCCAGAGTGCCTGGGTGATTCTTTGGACAACTTTAGTACCTCTCTGACCTGACAAAGACAAGTGGCTTTGAATGAGAGCCACTCTTTTCCTTAATAGGACCCACCCAGCTCTCAAATTCTAAAATATAACATCACCTTCACAGTAGGTGCTGAAAGAGAACAAGTTCCCAGGAGAAAAAAGATGTAAGGGAGGCCTGGGACATGGCTTGGTACCCACCTCATCCTCTGAGGCCCTGTCCAGTCGGGCACAAGAGGCAGACTCAGCAAGGTAGGGCCCCAAATAGCATGTCTCTGCAGGCTCCGGCAGTATCACCCATGACATGGAGAGGCAAGTACAGGCCAATGACATCCGTATCCGGGTACTGCAGGAAGAGAACGGGCGGCTCCAGGCAATGCTGACCAAAATCCGAGAAGCAGCTGAACAGGGAGGCCTCAAGGTGAGCCCGAGAGTGGGATTAGGGACTTGGAGGGGGCCCTACCAGGCAGAGGTCTTCAGATTGCCAAGGGAGCCTGTTGGGAACCTGTTTCACAGCATATAGCTGTAGGTTACACTTGGAAAGCTTCTTCCATATGTCAAGGCACAAGGCTATGAAAAGATCCAGGGTCTTCCAGCTCCAAATCCCACTAGAGCCTTTCTTTGACTTCAAGTGCAGAGTCAGCAGGTGTTGCCTGCTCAATGGTTTGCAGCTGCAGATGGCCCTGGATAGCTTCCCAAGCCCTGTACCTTAGTGAAAAGGATTGTATGTCTATGTTGGGACTCTATCCTCCTATCCCTCCTATGACACCCTTTGTACAGTGGAGAGGGGATCCTGGGCCCTGAGTTTGACTTTCTTTGCAGTTGATCCCACAGGGCCAGCTCTGGTCCTCTCTCTATAAGGGCATCCAGGGAACAGCACCCTCAACTTGGGCTCCAAGTGCATCCCCAGGGTAAGTGAGGCTTTTCCTGAGGTGGGGCGTGTAGATGGTGTGGGTCCCCTTGCTCACAGGGCATCTTGTGTTCTGGTCCTTCCTTAGGCCTATAGGCAGACGGTATTCTCCTGGCAGCAGGACAAACAGTGCAGGCAGGATCCAGCCAGGCCGGTGGTCCCAAGCATCCCCATCTCAGCAGTCCTGCAGCTGGCCCAGCAAGTCTTCCTTGGAGAATGGTCCCCAGAACCCCACGCATGCCTTGACCAGGCTGAGGAGGAAACTCTCACCAAACCGAGGCCAGGCTGGCTTTACATACCAGCCCCAGGAATGACCCATGTAGTCTGCAGCAGGAGTAGGGCTAGAGGGCAGGTGGCTAGCAACCTCCCATGGAATAAAAGCCCCAGCCATCTGCTCACAGCAATCTTGGCCTCAGCATTGCTGAGCTGGGGGAACAGAACTTCTCTCCTTGTTGGGTAGGAGCCTCTGTGATCCCACTATTCGGATCATCAGTCAATAATGGCCTGGCATGAGTGGGAGCTTCCTGTCTCCATCCTGACAGGGGTTTATAGGAGAAAACACCTTAGGGCAGAAAGACGCTTTCAGCACCTGAGCCAAGTGAAGGGTAGTCTTTCTACCCCAAAGCAAGGGCCAAGGGGGTAATCCTGGTCTCACTAGCCAGCACCTACTAAGGAAGGTCAGAATCAGGTGTTCAGGCAAAGGGCCAGTGAGGATATCTGAAGCAAGAAAGAAGTCAGAGGCCAAGACCCTGGTCATCTCTGGCTCACTAAGGCAGGCAGAGAACAGCAATACCTTTGCCTCCTACCCTGGCTCTACATCTGCGGCAGGACCCATGAGCACCAAGCACCTCTCACTATGGAACTTACTGCCTTTAGGAACTATTGAGATTCACCAAAAATTCCTCTAAGTCCTAGAGCCCCACAAAACCACTGAAGGCAAGGCCAGGCTTTTGGACACCTTAGCCAGCCCTGGTTCGATGAGAGCCACACCAGGTATACAGAGGTCATTTTCCTCGGCAAGCCCTGGCCTGCCTTAAGTTAACTTATCTGTGAAGGACAGGCTGTAAAGTCTCATTGAGGACTTTTCAGGTCACACTGTCGTACTCTTCTGTGGCATTATTACCCAGTGAAGAAGGTATCAGGTTGAGTGCCTCAGTTTACAGAGAAGGGTCAAGGGCAGCCAGTGTATAGCTGAGCTAGCACTGTTAGGTCTCCCAACTCCTGCTTCTGAGCAGCTCAGGGTTTCCTGAGGAAACTGCTATTCTCCCAGGGGAAAACCAACCATAGACACAGCTTCCTGAGAGAGGTCTGGCCCAAGTCCAGGAATGAGGCTGTCACAGCTGAGCATCCCAAGACTCCACTGACTCAGCATCTATTTATTAGCTCTTCTGCAGGTCAGGAGTCCAGACCCTGCCCAGCATGGTGACACATACCTATAATCTCAGCCCTGGGGAGGCTGATACAAGAGGATTATTTCAGGCCATAGGCCAGCCTACCTTACATAGGGAGATCCTATCTCAGACCAAAACAAACAGCAAAACCAGGAAATAAACAGAAAAGGAACAACAACAACAAAAAAATCTAGACAGCCATAGGACCCTGTTGGCCAAGTCCTGTACTTAGGCAAAAATTACGGTATCAACCAGGGCCAGGGTATGCTCCTTTCAGGTGGTTCTGGGGAAGAATCCCCTGGTAAGCACCTGGTTGTTGGCAGAATTTGGGTTGGGGTATGGGACTGGGGTACCACCTTGCTCTTGCCTGACCTCTTAGTCCCACCCCTCATCTTCACATCAGCAGAGAATGCTTCCTGCATTGAATAGCCTTCAGTTTCTGACTTCCTTTTCTCTTACCAGCTGGGGGAAACTGCTTTTCAGATTTACCACCCGCCCCTTTGCAGTGCTGGGAATTGAATTCTGGACCTTGTGCATTCTAGCCAAGTGATTTACCACCCCCAGCCCTTTGCTTTTCTCATCTGAAGGTCAATGTGTATATAATATAACCTACTCACAGGGTAAAGCCCCTTAGAGTCAATGTTCTAGAAACTATGCAAGGCATATTCACTACAGAATAGGAGTGCAGGGGCTTGGGAGCTGTGAGAATTCCATCTACCGTCAGTGGCAGATACCAAGGTGGCTGGGATTTTGTTTATTTATTTGTTTTTTCTTTGAGGGAAGGCCTCCCAGAGCCCAGACTGGCCTTGAACTCCTGATCCTCTTGTCTCCTTTCCCAAGTGCTGAGATCACTTTCACCACCCAGTAGCCTGGTCTGGTTTTGAACTCCTCCTAATCCTCCTGCCTCCACCTCCAAGGTGCTGGGATTACAGGTATGTGCCATCATACCCAGTTTTTGTTTAAAATATTAAAACATCTCACAGATTTTATGTCTTATGTTAAAATATATTCCATGTTTATTTTATTAAAACTTCCCTACTCCAACCTTTTTTTTTTTTAATGGATGCCCTTGGGAGATGTACCACATATATTCTGTGGCTTCAAGTATCCTGGTTAGTAACACGTAGTAACACGTAGCCCAACCAAGAAGTATAGCACTAGATGGTTTCTAAGGCCTCTGATCCCAGCCAGACTAGGAAAAGGTGCCCAGCTGGACAGGTAGCAGGGCCTATAGCTTCTGTGCCTAAGATAAGGGAAGCAGGCAGTGGAGGAGGCTCAGTTTAACCTCATAGCCTTGACCTGACCAAGCTGTAGCTTGAAAGATGGTCAAGCCAGCTGGACCATATATCTTTTTTCTTCCATCCCAATAAATAGCATAAAATTCAGCCATTATAGCTCCAAAACACTGAGGGCAGATGTATTGGCCACATTCTCTTTCCCCAGAGTTCTGGGAGCTGCCTGACAACAGACACAGATGTCCCAGAGTTGCAGAGAAGGGGCCCTAATGACCTCCTTGCCTGGTGGGTCCTGGCTCTGCATCTTCAGCCTGGGGCTATGAGTCCCTCCTAGATATGGTAGGGCCCTTCCTTGGCCCACAGGGCTGGCTGGCCTGCCCATTCCACTCCTCTCTGGTGTACAGGCTGGGAGGGGTCCATCCCCATGTGCAGAATCTACACCAGGGCAGTTAATCATCTGAATAGTGGTTCCCTGTAGGGGAGAAGGAAGATCAAGGAGGGAGGCATCAGGTAAGGGTCAAGGGGTGGCCCAGGGCCCCACCTGGCCCCTGGTGCTCACCTAGGACGTTGAACTTGCACAGTGGGCAGGTCTGTTGTAGCATCAGCCAGGGGTCCACACAGTCTCGGTGGAATTCATGTTTACAGGGCAGCACCCGGAGCCACTGCAGGGCAGGAAGGAGGGACTCTAGATGGAGACTAGGCCTATGTTCCTCATCTGAGTTGGGCACTTGAGCACATATGGGGCCTTAACCCCATCCTGCTTTTGGTAGCCCTCCTGAGGTCTGGGAGAAGGGCCTGGCTGGAGTGCTCCAGGGTCTCCTGGGATCAGATGCCACAGGTCAGCTATCAGCTGACCTTGCCCAAGCACTAACCTGCTTATTATAGTAGTAGTCCAGACAAATAGCACAAGTCTCAGTGTCAGGCTCTGGGAGGCTGTGCACTGCCCTGCTCAGCCGGCAGCGCTTGGTCTTGAGGGAAGCTAGTCTCCGAACCACACGGCGTTTGAACAAGTCCCCCTGTAGGAAAAGGATGGCCACAGTCTTGCAGGCCCAAGGGTTGAGGGCACGAGGGCTTCCACAGTCTGGCTCCCACCTGGCTTCCAGGCTCCTGCTGGCTCTGCCGCGTTGCCTGCCGCTGGGCCTGAACCACAAGGCCTGTGCACAAGAGCATGGCCACCAGCAAGATGGCATTCCATAGCTGCTGCAGGGGCTTCTGGGGAGGGAGGCAGATGTCAAGGGCACTGGGCTGCTTCACATGCTTCCTCCAGGAACATCCATCCCCAAGGACACTAGTGACCAGGCAGGTGACCTACACTGAGGGCCTGTATGTCTGCAGGCTCCTAGCTTGATCTTGAGTGTCCATACCCCCCCACCACCTCTGTGCACCTCAGAGTTTTCCATAGCTGCATGGAGAGCCACATCTGTCTCTAGCACCCTTCTACCCCATCCCCAACCTGTACTTCTTCCTGGTCTGTTCTCAGTTCCTACCAGCTCCCACTTTTATCCCAGCTAAAGTCACAGATGAAGCTGGCACCCAGCCTTTTGCTCTGCCCTCGTAGGGGTCTACCAGACCCCCCTCCTCTATTATTCAACCACACCCTCCCAGGCCCGAACCTAGGTATCTCACCTGCAAATCTGAACCTGCTGTGCTTCCCTTCTTGTCCCTGCCATGTCTATGCTCTTCCATACTGTTCCCTATCTTGAAAAATCTCTTCTTCCTTGTCCTGTCCCTTAACTAATGGCCTTGGAATCCTGCTTCAGAAGTACCCCCTAACCATCATGGTGATTGCTTACCACTTCACCTCTACCTGCCCAGCCCTCCTTATAACCACTGACCATGGGTTTCCTTGCTGCTGCTCTGGGTGGTTCTCAAGGCCCTGTCTTTGAGACCACCAAGTCTGACATGGTCCTGCAGCCTCGGTCTTTGTAGAATGAATGTATGTGAAAACATGACTGAGAAGCCACTCTAAAACTCATGGGCTTATGGGGGCCTCAGAGTTGCTGGAGAACAAATGACTGACTTAGCTCCCACCACATGCAGCCTGGCTGCTAAGCTCTGAGCACTGAGCATTGTCTTAGGAAATGACGTGGCAGAGAGTGAGCAAGCCATGCAGGCTCTCCCACACAGGTGCACTATTTCACACAGCCTTCAGATGTGTTATGATTAATAAACACATTCATTTAAAAGCTCTCAGCTTTCCTAATAGCTCTTTGTATTTTTCCCTGACTCGAGTTCAAAATTGCATTCCCCACTATACAGGGTAGGATGTCCTACCAGCCCTATGAATGCCTAGCAAAGCACTTCACTGGAACTGTGCCTCCTAAGCTGGTTAGCTCCCGTCATGACATTTGATAGTAAAAGGCCACCATCCTAGACTGGGTTGTGGGCTGCTAATGCAACAAATGTGGCCTTGCTTGGGGTAGAAGCACTGGGGGGTCATTCCTTAAGAGGTGTCTATTAACCTGTCCCTCTCCCTTACAGTCACAGTGGGGTGCTGGCATCTGTTTCAGGAAGCTCTCCCTGAATCCTAGGTTGTGCTCAAGTGCCTTTTCTATGACTTGGAAGAGTTTGAGCCCACTATCAGTTTGGAGTTCACCCCCACAGAATGACACTATCTCTCATCTGTTTCCCAGCTTGAGCCTAGGCTGGGACTGCTCTGTGCTGTGTCATGCTCTGGTAGGGCATGTTTAGTGGCCACTGTATGCTTTCCAGGGCAAAGCTTCTCTGAAGCTGATGCTCTGGAGCTGCCAAATTTGGCACACTTGGGAGCAGGTAGGAATGGAGGACAAGGGCAGGACTTGCCCATCAGACCAGCCAGGATATTGTTCAGCCTGACAAGTGCTGCAGCTCTGCATTTCTAGAGGCCACTAAGCAGCCATCTCACGATGGTGACTGGGCCTGGGGTCAGGGCTGAGGGTGTCATGTTCACCAGGGCAGCTACTTGAGATGCCTGCTCAAGTAACTCCTTGGACATCTCAGCTGCCATGGCTATACAACATTTGCATGGGCCACCCTAGCTTGGTTGGCAGTACTTCCACAGCTGTTGAGTTTTGTCCTGTACCTGCCAGCCCAACCTGAACACTACATTCTCACCTGCAGGTCACCAGGGGGCTTTTCCCAGCCTGTTCTTATCTCAGCTATACCTTTCTTCCACCTTTCACCAAATGTATTGCCTGCCCAGAGGTCTATGTGGTCTACCCAGGTCGGGGAGATACAGTGTAATGTCCCTGCTTACAAATGAGGAACAGTGGGGCTGGAGAGATGGCTCAGCGGTTAAGAGCACTGATTGCTCTTGCAGAGGACACAGGTTCAATTCCCAGCACCCAGACGGCAGCTATGAACTGTCCTTAACTCCAGTTCCAGGGGAATCTGAAGCCCTCTTCTGACCTCCGTGGCATTGCACAACATGGGTGCACTCACATACATACAGGCAATACACTCATAAAATAAAAATAATAAAATATTAAAAACCAGTTGAGGAACATGAAAACTCTTGGCCATTTGTCATTTACACATGGTCATTCAGCTAAGGTTTAGGTGCCAGGGTTTGAACCTGATTTCCTGTCTGACTTCAAACCACTTAGTGTGGCCCATGTCACAGACTACTGGGGAGGCTGCATACTAGAACAGAGTATGTCTGCTCCTCCCCTACCACCTGTATGACTGGGGCTCAAGAAATGCCATGGACTGAACACCTCGCACCCCTGGATGACAAGTACTGGGAAATTCAGATACAAAACACAGCCATAAGGAAATAAACATACATTGTGGGATCTAACAGCCCTGTGAAAGCCTGGCAAAGCCTGCTGTGACTGAGAAGATAGTGGGACTTCGTGCACAGTGCTGGAAGGAACATTCCAAAGCAGGCAGGCATGATGAGCTGAGAATTCTACCAGTCCAGGGCATGTGCAGGCAAAGGGGTTGAACACCCAGAGTCAATTGCTAGTGTTTACAAGGCTCAAAGGCAGGAGGTCAGGGTGTATATGGGGCTGGTTAAGTCATGCAAAGTGGGTAGAACTTAGGGACAAGTCTAGAAATAATAGAATCGATAAGGGCTGAGCTCTGTAGTGGAATATCCATGACCGTGGGTTCTGTCCCCAGTGGAAAGAAAAAAATATAGGATAAGAGGGTGACAGACCTGTAAAGATTAAGGAGCAGAGGAAAGCATAAAGACAGCAGTTACCATTGTCCCATGACCCTGGGCCAGGTGCCATACTCAGTGCCCACCAGTACCATGTTACTAAATATATCAGCTCTGTGAGGTAGGCAGGGCTATCCTCCAGGATGCCAAGGCATGTGTGTGGCCCCAATCCTAGGATCCTGTACAATCCACTGGTACCCACCTGCTCCTGGGCTTGACTGCCTCCTAGGCACACCAAGTCCTGCCAGCCCCCATAGACATCCTTGGAGAGGCCACAGGTGGTCCACAATGTCAGCTTCCACTCAATGTTGGCTGACAGGGACTCTCCACTGGTGATCTCAGCGATAGCCTGGGTCCTCCTGGGAGGAAAAAATTACAAGGGAAGGGGGGATGGGGGAGCAGACGGAAAGGCCCTTGGGAAGGAAGGCCCAGATTCATCTACCTGGTTCTGAGGTGGATACCCCAGGTTATTGCTGTAGTTCCAACTTGGCTCCCAGGCCTTTTCTGGCTGTTGATTTTCCCAGTTCTCACTCAGCCAGGTCAAGGAACTGTCAACCATGCATCCAGCTTCCTCATGCTGGGCTAGTCCCCTCTGCTCATGGAGCTACCCCCTTTTCCAGGTCTTGGCTCCTATCCTCCCCTCCACCCCCTTTTCAACACTGGATAATACAGTTTAAGGGCTAACAGATAAGGCCCTTCTCCTGAGATACCCTCCTCCTCCAGAGCCCATATGAGAGCTGGAGACCCACAGCACCCTAGCTTCAGGACTCCCCCTGCCCCCAAACAGATTCCAACTCACTGCAGCAGTGCCTCCAACAGCTTGGTGACATTGGAGGAGTAATGGAGGACAATCACTGGCCTGAGCAGAAGCTGGGATATGTCCAGCTGCAGGGGACAGAGAGGTCAGCAGGCTTTGGTTCCCCCTTCCCTGGCCTGCTCACCCTTAGAGGCCATTCCAAGTTACCTCTCGGACCACATTGTGGTTTAAGATGAGAAGAAGCAGGGCAGAGGCTCCCAAGAAGAGGGCCCGTCGCATCTGTAAGGAAGACAGAAGAGGCTAGCATATACCCTGTTATGCACCTGCCTGACAGCCTGTGGCCCCAGCTCTTCAGGACCTCATTTTTTTGGACAGACTAGCTATAAGCTCCTTGAAAAAGCTTCCATTCCTCCTCTTCTGTAGGATTCAAGAAGAACCCTGTCATTTTCCCTGATCCTTGCAAGGCAGTTCCTTACATTCCCACTGACTCCCATCATACATTCTGAGAACTAGTTCACCTTCCTAAGCAATCTTCCACCTCCCCATTTCCATACCATATTGCCAAGATTCTCCATACTGGGGTCTTTTCCTTCCTCCCCTCCCCTACAAACACCCCTTGCACCTGCTGGACCAGAGCCTTGGGATGAGCCTGCCGGCCACTGCCTTGATTTTCCTGATGGATCTGGGCGGCTTGCTCCTTGCCCACATATGCCACGGCAATCCAGCCATCTACGGGTACCTCTTGTTCAGCATCCATGACATCCATCTGTGTAGTGAGGGGCCATGAACGGGAGACAAGGGAAGTGGAAGAAGCAGCTAGGGTCTGCCACAGAAGATGCAAGGTCAGGGTCTGAGAATAAGTTTGTGTGTGGGGGGGGATCCCTGATTTGTGAAGTCTGGGTGCTGGGGAGCCTGGGGAGCGGCGCTGGGCTGTCAGGGCTTGCTCCCGGAAGAAGATGGGTTCTAGGTGCTGGGTCTGTGCGGTTGGTCAGAGGCAGGTCTAAGAGAGGCGGCGCTCACCAGCAGCAGGCGGCCGCCCAGCGGAGGCGCCGGGCCGGCTTCGGGACCGATCCTCACGCCCTCCAGTACCAGAGCGTCCTGCCGCGGCAGCCTCACGTCCACCCGCACTGAGCGGGCTCCGCCCCGCCCCGCCGGGGCCACCGGTTCGCTACCATCTGCTGCGGCCCCGGGCCCCGCCAGGCCCAGCCAGAGGGGCAGCAGGGGTAGCAGCAGCAGCAGCGGCGATGGCGGTGAAGGAGGAGGCGGCGGCGGCGGCGGCGGCGACCTCAACGTCGGGCGATCGGTGGGGCCCATGGTCGGACTGGAGCGCTGGCGAGACCCAGGACTGGGGTCCTGGACGCTGGAGGAGCTGGGAGAGAGGCCGCGCCGGACTGGGCGGGGCGCCGGGAGGGGCGGGGCTGCGGCCGGACGGGGCGGGGCGCCGGAGCCCGGGAGCCCGGGGCTGGGACCTCAGCGGCTCCGCGCGCGCCCCCTGGTGGTCGCTGAGAATCCGGTTGCAGGCTGCCGGAGGAAGTGAAAGGGGCAGAGCCCCAGTCGCTGTGTCGGTGAGTCTGGCGCAGGGTAGACAGAGAACCCGAGAGGGACGTCTGGAGTCTGGGCTGACGGACCTACGGTGTCGCCAGGGCCATGTCACGTCCCTCTATCTTGAGCCAGCATTGTTTAAATAGGATCAAACAGCAGGAGGCAGAAAACCCAGAGATGACTTGGAAAGTAGTGGCGGGAGACTGAGGCAAGGGTCTTAAACGAGTCGGAGGAGGGGCTAGGCTACCTAGGCTGGATAAAGCAGACAGATCCTTAGGAAAAGAGAGCTGGATTTTCCTCATCTATGACTTGATATAAACCTGCACTCCTGCTCCCCAACATAATGTTGAATGCCTGCTGGAGTGTGAAAGCTCCACTGTTGTCCTAAGATTTGTCCTTTACTCTGAGAGTGTGGCTGCACCTGAGCCTTTCACAAATTGTACCCTGATAAAAGGGCAAAGAGCAGATGAGCTGCGACACTCTTTCCGCTACTATTTTATTATTAGAAATTCAAATACACAGAAAACTGGAAAGAAATTTTCAGCGAACACCTAACTACCAACATGCGATGGCCAAAATACTCCTAAAGAAGGCTTAGATAGGGGTGATGAGATGGTGGCCCAGCAGCCTGCTCTTGCAGAGAACCTGGGTTCGATTTCCAGCACCCACATGGCAACTCACATCCATCTGTTATTCCAGTTCCAGGGCATCTGATGCCCTTCTCCAGCATTCATGAGCACTGTGTGCACATAGAACACTTACAAATATGTAGGCAAAACACTCATACACATACAATTTTTTTAAAAATGAAGACTGAGATGTAGAGGAAAAAGTTGACTCAAACAAGGAATTGGGACAGAACCTGCCAAGCATGTGTAAACCTGGTGTGCCAGAAGAAGTGTTGTATTTGGATTGAGGAGACAGTATGATGGGCCAAAAACATACATACATACATACATACACACATACATACATATGGGCACTGTGGCAGGTGCCTGTAATCCCAGCTACTTAGGAAGTTGAGGCAGAAGGACTGCTTGAGCTGAGGAATTGAGACCAGGCTCAGCAACACAATGTGAGACCTGTCTTAAAAAAACGATAATAACGTAAAAAACCTGGCTTCTCATCTAGACTTCAAATCAATATCAATGTCTCTAAGTGAGATTTTTTGTTGTTGTTGTTGTTCATTGTAAAAGGCCTGCCTACTAGATAATTCTTATGTATCATTCTGGCTGAGAACCACTCCGTTAGCATGTACAGAGCAGCAAGGTTGCATGGTGAAAGACTGGAAATAGCCCAGCTCCCCATCACTAGAGCTAGAAGAGAGAAGCAGTGCACTCTTCATTTGTAGACTAGCATGCAACAGAAAAAATGTGTAGTAGCACAGATAATTCTTTCTTTTTTTTTTTTTTTTTTGAGACAGGGTCTCCCTGTAGTGGCAGCTGGCCTGGAACTCACTATGTAGACCAGGCTAGCCTTGAACTCACAGAGATCCACCTTCCTCTGCCTCCCAAGTGCTGGGATTAAAGGTGTGCACAACCACGCCCAGCTCAGCACAGACGATTCTTACAGAATGCAGAGTACGACAATCAAGTCCTTAATAGTAAGTTCAATAATAGGTTCATTAGGATATCTAAGATCAATACACAATAGTTGGTTTTTTTATAGACCAGCAAGGAACAATCTGAGAAATTAAAACAAGAATCTCATTTATAAAATATAACATCCAAAAGAATAATAAAGTACCTATGGATAAATTTAAACAAAAAAGCAGGGTATGGTGATGCATGCCTTCAATCCCAGCACTCAGGATGCAGAGATGGGTGGATCTCTTGTGAGTTTGAGGCTAGCCTGGTCTACATTGCATATTCCAATCCAGCTGGGGCTACAGGGAGACCCTGTCTCAAAAAAAATTGTATATATGGAAGTAAAAGATTCATACACTGAAAATTTTTAAATGTTTCTGAAATATATAAGGAGACCTAAAAAACTGGGAAGGTATCCACACCGATGACTTGACAGACATTTAATATTGTTAAAGCAGCAGTACTACCCAAAGCAATCCACAGACTCAATGCAATCCATATCACAATTGCAATGACCTTTGTTGAAGAAATAAAAGAATCCATCCCCAATTCTTGTAGAATTGCAATAGAGGACTCATGCTTACTACAAAACACAGTAATCAAAACAGTGTGGTAATTTATGAAAACAGGCAGAGGGGTTGGAGAGATGACTCAGTGGTCAAGATCATGTACTGCTCTTGTAAAGGACTCAAGTTCAGTTCCCAGCACCCATGTGTGGTGACTCACAGTTACCCTGTGGCTCCAGCTCCAGGAACTCCAGTGACCTGTTCTGGCCCCTAAGGGCACCTGCTCTCATGTGCACATACCTTCCCCCAGGTTAAAAAAAAATTGGGGCTGGAGAGATGGCTCTCAGTAGTTAAAAGTGCTGACTGCTCTTGCAAAAGAACTGGGTTCAATTCCCAGCACCCACATGGCAGCTAACAACCATCCCTAACTCCAGTTACACCAGATCTTCTTCTGACCTCTGAGGGCATTGCATGACACAGATGCACTTACACATATGCAGGAGATACACTCATGTACATAAATAAAAACAATAAATAAAATATTTTTTAAAAAACTTAAAGACAGAGCAATAGAATAGAATTAAGGGTCCAGATATAAATCCATACATCCACAGAAATGATTTTTTTTGGTCCTTTTGAGACAGGGTCTCCCTGCAGCCCCAGCTGGCCTGGAACTCACTATGTAGACCAGGCTGACCTTGAAGTCACAGAGATCCGCCTCCCTCTGCCTCCTAAGTGCTGGAATTAAAGGTAATGCACCACCATACCCGACTCACACAGAACTGATATTAAAAAAAATTTTTTAATAACTGCATGATTAGAAGAAGCATTTCACTACAGCTTTAACATATTCAGTAACACACTCCAGAGCAAGCGTACTT